GATTAAAATCTTATACTTTTAAGAAAGTTTTTTTTCTTATTTTGAAAGGATAAACTAAAAGATATAATCAAAAAGTTATTTTCCTCTCAAAATTAAAGTAATATTTTATTAAAGTGAATTTTTTCTATTCAAATGAGATTAAAATTTTTTATTTTCAAAAATTATTCTTATTTCAAGAAGATAACGTAAAATTTTATCAAAAATGTATTTTTCATCTTAAAACTAGAGTAAAATTTCATAGCAGCTATTTGAAATGAAATTTCCTTTTTCGAATGATAATTAAATTATGTTACTTTTACAGAAAGATTACTCTCTTATTTTGAGAGGAAAAAAAAGTAATAAATCCAAAAAAAATTAAAAAAAAAAAACGGAACATGATTTTGTGGATGAAAATTTGGTTGGCATATATAGAGACATGTATGGTATATGGTACCAGAAGTAATACATTGTCTGGTCTCTGGCGTGGCTAACGAATCGGCATTATGTGGGAACGGGCAGTCATCGATTGCGTCCTGTAAGGGGAAGTTGCATACCCCCACTCTACCCGCCGGGCCATAAACACGGAGCTCGAGGGACGCATGCACCGCGGGGGGCCTAAGCGACGTTCTCGGGCCTAATGACATTTTCTATTTATGGCCCTTAATGAGTTTTTCCAAAAAAAATAAAAAAATTTTAAATATTAACAATTTTTAATTTTTTTTAACATATTCTTATTCCTCGTAATTTCACGATTACGAGCATATGTTGTTCGAATTAAAAATGTTAATATTAAAAATGTTTATAATTATTATTAAATAATATTACATTTAATTGTTTCTTAATTTAATTATACTGTTTAAAAAACAGTATAAATTAACAAACATTTTCCTTCACACTTACAGGCTTAGGACTGGCAGCATTTCACTTATTCGTGAAGGCTGGCGTGTTTAAAAAATGTGTGTTTATTTATACAAAACAGAAAATCAGAACTTTTAAAAAATTTGCTTGTAAGCCAGTATAATATAAAAGCTTTGAAAGCTTTATTAAAATATATTTGGTTTTATTTAATACATATTTGACTTGTAATGAATGTAAATTTTTATAATAATATAGAGGCCAGTCCTAAGCCTGCGAGTGTGAAGGGAAAATGTTTGTTAATTTATACTGTTTGTTAAACAGTATAATTAAATTAAGAAACAATTAAATGTAATATTATTTAATAATAATTATAAACATTTTTAATATTAACATTTTTAATTCGAACAACATATGCTCGTAATCGTGAAATTACGAGGAATAAGAATATGTTAAAAAAAATTAAAAATTGTTAATATTTAAAATTTTTTTATTTTTTTTGGAAAAACTCATTAAGGGCCATAAATAGAAAATGTCATTAGGCCCGAGAACGTCGCTTAGGCCCCCCGCGGTGCATGCGTCCCTCGAGCTCCGTGTTTATGGCCCGGCGGGTAGAGTGGGGGTATGCAACTTCCCCTTACAGGACGCAATCGATGATCGCCCGTGGGAACTAATGAGCGAAACGGACTCCCCCCCTCTCTCTCTCTCTCTCTCTCTCTCCCTCTCTCTCTCTCTCTCTCTCTCTCTCTCTCTCTCTTTCCTTCATAGAAGCACTGTCCTGGGAAATCGCGCGGAGATTTATTGCTCGACCGACTGGAAGCTTTGCGATTACCAAATCGGTTATAGAGAGAGAGAGAGAGAGGTATATATTCAAAAATTTATTCGCTCGACCAAACACGGACGACGGAAATCGATCGAAAACCGGTTCCAAGGATATACCTACTCGAGAATTCATGGCTCACTTCCTGATAAGGTTTCGCCCCCCCACCAAAAAACAAATATATATATATATATATATATATATATATATATATATATATAAATATATACGTTTACTTCATCCCCCCCCCCCCTAGCTGTAAAATTTCATTTGGAAAATTTTAATTTTTTCTCAATAACAAAAAAAAAACGTTCAATTTTTCAGAATTTCAATGATAAAAACAAGAAATTTCGTTTTCTTAAATAATTTTTCTTTATAAATTTTAAACTAATTTTTTTTTTTATTTAAATATAATAATTACAACGTTTATTTTGATTTAAAAGTAAAAAAAAGGATTTACGGACTTTTATATAAATTATAATTTGTTCTATCCAATTGAATTTGTTGAAATTGTTTTCTATTTTTTTTTTTTTTTTTTTTTTTTTGGTGTTTATCTAAAATGGTAAATAATTGTTTTAAATGAAAATTAAATTTAATTAAGAGAAACAAAAAAAAAAATTAAATAAAAAGTTTAACAATTCCAAACCTGTTTCTTTCATAATATTGGGTCAAGTTTTCAAGTTTCTCGAGTTAGAGGCGCCTGACAGCAGGCAACCCACTTTACTCGCTCGCAATTCATACGCCAGCACTTCACTGAATAACCCCTTTTTCGTAATTTAAACTATAATAATAATTAACAAATAACAATAGTCCAATTTAAATAAATATATATATATATATAAATTTCAAAATTTAGTACAATTATTATTATTTTAAAAATTAAATTGTAAATTAAAATTACATAAACAAAATTTTTAAAAATGATAGAAAGAAATAAAAAATTTTGTATTTATAAGCAAATAATAATTAAATAATAATAATAATAATAAAATACTTTAAATTTTAACACAATTTTTCACAATATTTTCGCTAAAACAATATATTTGAGTGAAAATAAATTTTCATTGTTCCAAAACTACCGTATATATATATATATATATATACAAATGTGAAAATAGAAATGTAAAAAAAATTTAAAAATTAAAGAACAAAATAAAAAAAAAATTCATTTGTAAAACATAAAAAAATCCTGTAAATTGTTATATTTATTGTACTGATAAATCTACACTATACGTTATCGGGACAATTGTTTAAAAAAAAAATAACGAAAAAAAAAAAATCTGTAAATTCATTGGCAAAAGACAAATGTTTTTTTTTTTTTTTTTTTTTGTTAACGTGCATTAAAAAAAAAACATTTATTTTCAGTATTTGGCAAGGGATTTTGAACAGAGTGATAAAATGGAGGATAAATGTGCGATATCGGTGACATAGAGGTTGACGTTATGTGACAAACGTCTGTCAAAAGACATGCGACACGTGATATTGTTGGCCACATATTTAGTATATTTGATAGTGTTGAATCGATAAGATTTATAACTATATATAATATATATGTAAACACATAGAATATTAACTAAATCAAAATATCCTGTCAAAACATATATATATTTAAATTTTGATTTTTTTTCAATTAAGATTTGAGAGTTTTTTTTTATTAACTCTAACTTTCTATGTAGCCGAATTATTATTATTATTATTATTATTATTATTATTATTATTATTCCGTGAAATTTTTAATTATCCCAATTTTTATTGAGCAGAATTTATTTAATTAGATTTTATTTCCCACAAAATTTATTAAGCCGAATTTTTTATTTAGTCAAACTTTTTTTATTTAGCCGAATTTTTATTCAGTGAAATTTTTATTATTCCAAACTTTCCATGCGTAGCCGAATTTTCTCGTAACCTAACTCTCTTTTAATACAATTTTTTTATTAAGTCCTACTTTTCATTTAGCCGAAAATATTATTCAGTTTCAATTTTTATTTTCTTTTAAGTAAATTTTTATTTTATTATAAATTTTTATTTATTCAATGTTTTATTCAACCAAATTTTTTATTTAGCCGAATTATTATTTAAGTAAAATTCTAATGTAACCGAATTTTCATTTAGTAGAAAATTGTCTTGTTACTAAATTCTATTTCAATTAAATTATTATAAAGCTGAATTTTTTATTTAGTCCAATTATTAATTACTAAAATTTGTATTTATTCAAAGTTACAATTTAGCAGAATTTCTTAAAACTAATTATTAATTACTGTAGAATTCGTATTTACCCAAATTTACATTTACCAAAATTTTTGCAACTAAATTTTAATTTTTCCAACATTTTATTTCACGTAATTTTTATTTAGCCGAACCGTTTTTATTTAGTCAAATTATTAATAACTTAAAATTTTTATTTTGCCGAATTTTTACATATAAGGATTTTATAAAATTCTAATAAATTAAATCCAAATATATAAATAACATTGAAAGAACGAGAAATCAATATTAAATATATATATATATATGTTATGTGTATTTTCATTCACCGCGTAAAGGAGAAAAATATAAAAATTTTCAAAGAGACGCAAAATTCATAGAAAAAAAAGAAAACTAATCTTTTATAAAGCAAAAGACTTGAAACACGTTCCAGTCGCATATAGTTTGTAAAAAAAAAGAAAAATTAAAAAAAAAACCAAATGTAGACTTGATGGAAAATGCTTTCAACGTCAGTCAATTCGTTTGAATTTTATTGGCCCTCACGAGAAACTTCATTGAATTTTTCATTGGAGGCATGTAACTGGCATTTAGATGGCACTGATTTAGTTTGAGTTTCTGGACTGGAATAACTGAAAAAATAAAAAAAAATGTAAAAAAAATTCGAATAGAAAGCAGAAATTAAACGTTCAAGAGCCAAAGGAAACTCGTATGAAATGGACATTCTTGTTTGGTTTACTTTTTAATTTAGTTGATTTTATATGAAAAAAAATTTTTTCTCGTTTTCATCATATTTTCAAGTATACATATATATATATATATAACACATATATGTATATATACCTGTACCCAGAGTGGCGCTTATTTATATATACATACATTTTTTTTTTAAATATTGCATTTGGAAAAAAAATTGTTCAATAAAAATTTTTACAACTATTTCAATTAATAACTATTAGTGACTATTTTTTAAAAACAAAATTGGAAATAACCTTTTTTTAATGAGATTAAAATTATTAAAAATTATTATTATTATTATTATTATTATTATTATTATTATTAAATTATTTTAAAAAATAAAATAATACATACGTAAAAAAATTATATTTTCAAAAATTAATTTAAAAAAAAAAATTTTTTACAGACGCTGATTGCGGGACAAGGACTCAATGACGATATGTGGCACACCCTGAGATTTTCGAGGAGGGCAAATTCTTTAAAACTTCAAATTGACGACGAAGGACCCGTTAGAGGTAATTATTTAATTTATTAAATATACTGAAACATTAACATTACTTTCTAGTTATGTTAACCAGAATTCTAGTTGAATTAACTAGAATTCTCGTTAAAATAACCAGAATTCTGGTTAACCTAACCAGAATCAAAATGTTAAATATACCCTAACCAGAATTCTGGTTATTCTAACTAGAATTTTTTTTCAGTGAAAAAATTTTTTTTAATTATTTTATTTTAAACAAATTATTTTTGTATTTTAAAAAAATTATTTTAAAGTACCTAATTATTGAATAATTAATTTTCTTTTAATTTAAATATTTAGACAAAAACAAAAACAAATTGTTCCAATCAACTTAATTTTGTCAGTGCGGAATGAAGTGAAAAAAGAAATATTTTTTTTTTTTTTTTGGTCCTTTTACAATTCTAATGTTAATCAAGGGAAAATTTAAGCATTGAGCGAATGCCCAATATAGACGATGTGAAATCCAATTTGAATTTAGTAAAGGATAACTATGTGTGTTGAGAGACGCACAAATGGCAAGCAAAAAAAAATATATATATATATATATATATATATACAGAAACGATTCGTATTTGTGGAGAGGGGAAAACACCACCGCGAATAACATTGTCTATATATATATTTCGATTCGATCGAAGCCAATCAACTGTTTTACATCTGAACACGACGACGTACAATTTTCCCTACTTTGCGTCTGCTTATCCATTTTCAAACCCACACCGCATAGTTTGTAAATTGCTTCACGTAAACTTTACCCACAAACAATTCGCATTTAATTTTCACATAAGTTGTACATATATATATATATATATATATAGGTATATGTATGTATAATATTGCGCATTTATTGTAATATTTAATTATTTTACCAAAGTTAGGATTAAAATTCCTAATTTACGCCAATTCATAGGAAATAAGATAATCGAGGGTTAAAATTGGATCAAACCTCTAAAATGTGATATTTGATAACTATACTTTCACTTTCACGAGGAAAAAAATCTTTATCTGAAACAGCGATATATTTCTCTAGAATAGCAAAAATTTTCGCTGTTTTAGTAAAACATTTCGCTATTCCAATGAAATAAAGTGAGAATGAATTAATAGTAAAGTGAAAGTACAATTAAAACCGTAATACCGTAATTTTCTATTACGGCGCGCGTTTGTATCAATTTCGGTGTGTCAATTATACGGTATTACCAAAATTACATGTATTTTAAAGATATTTTGCGCCCACCGTAAAATTAGAGCCAATGAAAATTTTAAAAATATTTCAATTACAACGAGGGAAAAAATTTCATCTCATTTTCTAAATCTGAATTAGTACCCAACCAAAAATTTCTATATTATACCAGAGTTGACTACTGGCGCATAACTGGTTCAGTATTGGCTGCCGAGTCTGGGCAGTCTGTACTGAACCAGTACTGGTATTTTCATTGTATCCGTACTGGTGCAGTACCACCCTTCTAGTACTGGCAAATCAGTACTGAGCAGATATTGAGCCAGTACTGGCTCAAATAGATTTTCTTTTTGAATCCATTTAATTAATATTTAATTTGTGTTAGGTTACTAAAAATTTCACACACTTTTTCCTAAAAAAAAAAAGTATTACCTGGAGCAGAGATTTCACTATTGCAGTGAAACTTATCTCTGTTACAGTTAAAGTTTTCTTTTCGTATACAATAAATTACAAAACCACCAGTACTCAGCCAGTAGTGAACCAGTATTGGTTACCAGTACTGGTGCCAACTCTGGCAGCCAATACTGGTAAAATGTTATCATTCCAAAGTTTCGCCAACTCTGGCGCCAATACTGGGTGCCAGTACTACGCCAACTCTGGCGCCAATACTGGGTGCCAGTACTGCGCCAACACTTGTCAGTACTGCGCCAGTACTGCGCCATTAGTAAATTTTTGATTGGGTAGTATTAATTAAAAATAAAATCCATTTCTGCCAGGACTGGCTCAATATCGGCTCAGTACTGGTTTTCCAGTACTGGGAGGGTGGTACTGCACTAGTATTGATACAATGAAAATACCAGTACTGATTCAGTATAGATTTCCCAGCCTCGGCAGCCAATACTGAACCAGTACTGCGCCAATAGTTAACTCTGGTATAATACTGAAATTTTTGGTTGGGTAATTGATGCACTTACCCTATATCTATTAAAAATATTAAATTCCAAAATTACACAATTATTTTACAATGAAAAAAATTAAATTGTAATATTTTTGAAACGTTTTGTAAAAGCGGGAAAATATAACTATTTTCATATACAAACTCTATACGGATGTCTGTTTTGTGCTGCACGAATCGAGATATGAATGTCGCAAGTTTTAGCAGAAAAGTTGTGAACTTACATTACGTTTAATTTATTCGCTTAATGGAGTATAATTAGTAAAAAGCGACACTAAACCACCTATGTAGTGACATTAACTTTTACAATTCTCAATGACTCGCCAAGTATAACTAAATAGGCTTTCCGTTAAAACTTCTTTTTCAAAAGTTCAAAGAATTATATCAAAACTTCAAAGCTATTTAATTTTTTTTTTTTTTTCTAACAAGCTAGGAATATTTTTCATTTTTAAGTCCTTATACTTATGTCCACCTGATATAATATAATTTCCCAAGAGAGGATTTATTTATTTATTATTTTTTTTTTAACAATCTCCGCTTTACAAAAGAAAAAAGTTTCATATTTATTTTGTTATTCACTCATGACAATAGAGAAATAATTTATCAAATAATAAAAAAATAAAATTAAATACATTTCTTTTTATTTTTAAAGTAACTTTGTTTTGTTTGCGTTTATTATTTATTTAATCATAAACTACTTAATTATTTTACGCCAATAAATTATTATTTTCATTTTTTATTATTATTATTATTATTATTATTATTATTATTATTATTATTATTATTATTATTATTATTATTGTTATTATTATTGTTATAAATTCTGAAAATTATTTTGGAAAATAAATTACTTTATGCAATTAAATTTAATAATCTTTCATTTAATTAAATTTATACTGATAATTAAAATACACAGATAATGTGTCTAATTAAATTTATAATTATTATTTATTTAACATTATATATAGTTTATTAATTTGAAAATTAGCATTTATAAATCTCATTAGTTTAATAATTAAATCAAATCATTTGTGAAATCGTTTCGTTGACACTCTCAAAAGTTGTTATCATTTTGCTATTTCCTAATATTATATTAAATTTGTTTGTTGGAAATAAATTTTTTTTTACATTGTTTAAGTAATTTTGACTAAATTTAAAAAAAAAAAAAAAAATTATTTTAATATTTCTCAAAAAAAAATTTATAATCCCTATTTTTAGGGTTTGAAATAATTATAAAATTATGTCATTAAAAATAAAAAGAACTCACTGATATTGATGATGGGTCCTAAAGGGTCCAGGTATAGCTGCGCTCTTCTTTCTTGAGGCCCTAAAGCAACTTTAAGGTTAAATCTTAAGACCAGCAGATATATAGCTTATCTTCAGATTTACCATTAAAGAGGCAGCCAGGAAGTTTGTAAATAGCAAAACAAAACGTGCCGCAAACTTTTTAAAAATTTATTTTATTGGTTAGAATAAGCCACACTTTTTTTAAACACTCAAAAAAAGATAAAATATAAAAAAAAATGATTTTACATACACTTTTAAAATAAATGTCCTTTTTAGGCACATACAATTTCAATATTAAGATAAAATTTCATTGTAGGCAGAAAACAATTTTAATTTATAATTTATTAAAATTTATTAAATTTTGAAAAATATAAAAAGTTACCGACATGAAATCTACCTTACCGACTGATGGTAAAGAAATTTTTTTAAAACAAAAATATAAACAACTTACAGATACAGAAATCTACCCTACCGACTGATGGTAATAATTTTTTTTTTTGAAAAATAAATATATAAAAATTACCAACGCAGAAATCTACTTTGCTGACTGATATCAATTACTATCTGTCGGTAAGGTAGATTTTTATGTCAGTAATTTTTTATATTTTCATTTCAGTGGGAATTTCTTTACCATCAGTCGGCAAGGTAGATTTCTATGTCGGTAATTTTTTATATTTTCATTTTTCAAAAAACTGTTTACCCCGTCAGTCGGTAAGGTAGATTTCTGTGTATGTTATTTTTTTAAATATATTTTCAACTTCGATATATGTTTATTTTTCCACATTACTTTTCAAAATTTTTTAATTAAAATTACCGTGCGAGTGTAAAGTGCAACATACGCTAGACTAAAAAAATAAATTTCGAAAAAAATGTGCAGTTAGGTATGCGTAACCCTCGTCTTATCCCACTAGCGGGTCGATGGCTAAATGTATATAGCCATCAGTGCAAAGATCTACAAGGAAATATAAAACCGTGTTGCCAAATGCATAATTCATTATATTTCTCAAATCAATCCAGTGATTAGTAGATGACAAATTATATGATCATTGCATGTGACAATCAGGGCTAAACATTGTCGCAAATAAAACTTTACAGATGAGATGAATCAACTTTTATACATAAATTGGTTTTATTTATGAAAAATTATTCAACATTCAATAAGACGTTTTCGAAAGTTCCTGGCATAATGATTTCGACTTAGCCCTCCCACCCCCCCCCCCCTCTTCCCCATTTAAAATAAACTTTTAATATTCGCGAAAAAAAGACGATCGCGATTTTAAATTATAATTCGGACGCGCGCGTAACGAGTTGTCTTGTATGTTACGAAAGACAAACAACGAAAACGAAATTGTAAACACCCTATGAACGTTCACAATTATAAAATTGTCGAATTAACACTCCCGAAGTTAATAATTTTTAAATCCGACACGACACGAACAGCTGTATCCGTATACGCTGTATAATGAGAATAAGAAAAAAAATTTATATTATATATATATATTAAACGACCGTCACTTTCACTAAGTTCGAACACTCCCGTATAATGTAAAATTGCAAAAAATTTAATGAATTTAAA